AAACCATCTTAAAAGTAGCATACATTGTTAAAAATAAGTACAGCAATAGTTATTGCAATCAGAGACTTTCAACGTGAAAAACGTTCTTCTAAAAATAAAGCAAGATCTAAACGAAGACAAAATATTTGTTGAAATTTTGATGTTTTTGATAAAAAATTTAAAATTAACCCGGGTTAACTATCTTTATAAAACGATTGTCCTAACATGTAACAGATAAATATATTCAGTGCGCTGGGCCTTTTATTTCTTTATTTATAAATTACCCATACAACTTTAGAAATAACTATCACGAGATATATTTTTTTTGTACATTAAAGAACCTTAGTGCACTTCACAAGTTAAAATGAGAAATGATTTTTAAAGACAAAAAATACTTTTTTTTAAATAAAATCAACGTGAGAATTAAAAAATAATTCCCTTTGTTATAATGCACTCCATGATCTAATGTGAAATATAACGAAATATATAATTTTTCATCAAATACTTGTTTTCAAAGTTAAAAACTGAAAAAAAATAATTTATAAGCTACGATGACATCAATAGGCTTAGATAGTTAAAGAATAATAAGCAGAGAATATTGCAAGAAATAAATGAAAAAGATATATCAGCTACAGTTATAAGGGATTTTGATAAAAATCCAAAATTGGTTTTATTTAATATTATTAAACTGTCAAAACATCCAATTAAACCTCACAATTTCAATTATCAAATAAACAAGCCTTGCACTTACATGCATGTTACCGTAAATTGCAATGTTCTTAAAATTTTAATCTCCTTGCATAAAGGTCCAAGCAGATTTTATGCTTATTAGCCCCAAACTAGATTATCGGAACTAATGTGTGAAGTTACATAGATAAATATTAACAATTAACTTTGATCCATCACATTCATGACACAATCATTTAGCATAAGAAAATTCTTTAGCCTTATTTACAAAATTAACAAACACATGTACTCTTTTTTTTACCTGTAACATTAACTATTTGAAATTTTTCTGTTTTTCCAAATCGATTTTGAGCACGACAAGAATAATTGCCACTCTCATCTTACACAACATATATTAATATTAATTTTTGACTATTAGATAACAGGCTGAATCGATCTTCCGGGAGATCCAAAGGTTCATCATCTTTGTACCATGTAATATTCGGTGTTGGCGTTCCTCCAACGTAACACAACAAATGAATAACGTTTCGAGCATCTGTTGATAATTTAGTTACGTTGGTAGAATTTATATTGTCTTTAATGAAATAAGGTTTTCTCGGCACTAAAAATATAAACATTATTTTAATGTACATAAACGTTGTAATACAATACAGACGAAAAGAAACAACTTTTGATTACGTTTAGAAACAAGGGAGTATCTGATTATTTTGATACTCCCATAATTAGAATTTACTTTACAGTAATAGTCTAATAATGTTCATGCGTTAAAAATTCAGTGTAGACAGCAAATGAACAGTCTGTAGTAGACTGACGTGAGAATAACGGCAAGATTTTACTACGTTGGAGCTGCCCATATTCTTGTGCTGCTTTAACAGTCGCTATCACTGATATCCGCTTAGCAACACATTTTAATTAATAAGAATTTATTAAGCTACGCTTTGTTAGCAGTACTCAAGTTTTTTTTAACGATTGAGTCACACTTTAAATAGTTTTGCAAGAACCTGAGTTTAGTCAAATTTAAATTAAATAACATTTCATCTTTAAACTGGTGGCATTTAGGATTCGTAAGGGATCAAAGAGATTTATTTGTAAAAATACGTTTTTACTTTTCTAGCATGAAATAATTTACAATGTCAAACTATAACAGCAAAAATAAAGAAGGCACTGAAAATTGTGAAGTAAATCAATATAAAAATATAACTAAAAACTAGGAAGCACATGTACCATAAACAAGACATAGAAAGGGCAATGATCCATCGTGAAATTATTTACAAAATTTTTTTTAATATAATTTACCTTGATGTTTTCTGTCAGCGTACTAGCTCTTATAAAAATGATGTCGTAAAATACACGTTTTTGATAACATTATAATATAACTGAATTCAGATATTACGAAATTCTAAATTTCAACCGGATCGTACTTAATTTCTACTACAATCATTGGATATCACTCTTGAAACTCCTCAGTAAAAGTAGCTTTCACTTAACTTTATCCACGAAAGTAATTACCATAAAACTCTAAACTTTAACCTACATGTATCAAGTTCATATGACTATATTGACGTCTTAATTAACAGTTTGATCAACTTTATGAAAAATAGTTAGAGTTCCTCGGATTAGTAACAAAAAATAGGACTATAATGGTATTCTTCCCATATAACACGTCATGTATAACATGTCTAAATGTTTAATTATTTAACTAATTACTCCATAAACATGAAAACTCAATTTCAAGAAATTGTATTTCCGTCCGTACATTTCTTACACAAAATAGCATATTTTAACCAAAAAAGTAGGTTCGATATAGCACTTAAACTTTATTTAAATTTTTGTTGAGCATATTATTAAATATATACCAGTTTTTAAACAGCATAATTGCAATAGAATTTTCTGTTATAATGAAATATTGAAGTTAACACCACCAACTATATAAAACTATGTACTTACTGTGAGCACGAAAAATCATATGTTTTTATTTTAAACAATTTAATTATG